CCCCCCACGGGGTTTACATTGATACGTGCATAACACTGTCTGGTAAACTATTGCTTCTCTCAGTCATAAATTTAACAACAGACGCTCTCACTGAAAACGATGGCGTCCCAGACTCATATTTTGAGCATGATCCATTTGCTTATACTGTCGATTAAACTCAAGCAGAGGTTAAAATGTAGAGGCCGGCTTATAGCAAAGCGGTATAAAACGCCAAGTTCTTCTTCAGCGAGTTAGCGATTGCTTTTAATAGTTCGGGAAAGCATCGTTCGCTGGATGTATTGACGGGAGAAAATGGTTAGTTGCGAAAGTTCTTGGAGAAAAACCAGCACAGTCCGCAGTCAATAACAATCAACACATTGCTACTGCAGACATTCCCGTCCCGTCCGACTTTTCAATTCCCTGTTTCGGCAGTTTTTCTTAGTATCTCGAATCACTTGGACATGTTCCCCAGCAACAGTGCTTAGCATTAACCATGTTTGTAATTTGGGATAAATTTGAATTTGTTTTAGCACAGATAAAATAAATAAAAACGTCAATTTAGACCAATTTATGTTCGCTGCTAGTACAATTCTATACAAAATGTTAGTTTGTTTGTCTGAGTCTCGTGGGGGGTCTTCACTTGGAGAATCTATTTTTAGCTACTGCGGACGGGCTTTTCAGAGATAATTAAGAAATAAAATGAATTCTAAGTTCTAAAGCTAGAGAACTTTAACTGACCTACTTTACATCAATGACTAATTAGTAAGAAACTCATGCGAAAGTTGTTTCGTAAGACTATGTTTAAATCCTGGAATAGAAGTACAAAGTTTTAGATCATTGTTCAACGAATTCCAGAGGCTAACAGCTTGATAATTAAATGTTCGTTGCCCAGTGGATTGTTTCGAGACGTCTGCGCGCGTCGTAAACTGGTTTGATTAAACATGTTTTGGTTTGTTTTAGTTTCTGTTCGACCTGATGGTGTGTGGCAAGGGGAATGGTAATGACTCCATCCTCTCCTTCATTCTGCACTCTCCCGCGCCACTCTACGCGGCGGTAAAACTCTCGCATCATTACAGAGCTGAGTCGAGTAAGTTCAAAGAACGAAGCAAAGACCTGATAGCGGCTGGTGACGCCTGTGAGGAACTGGCACTAGATATCTTGACTTTGGCTTGTACCAATGATGCGAGCCTGCTGTTGAACGCCACAGACGACAGCGGTAAACCGTTTCTTGACGTTCTCGTGGAATGTGAGCAGAAACAGTGTGTCGCGCATACCGCTGTGCAGTCGTACTTGGGGAGCAAGTGGCGTGCTGGACGGAATTGGAGCATCTCAAAAGTACTGGCAATTTTTTTCGTCGCCTTTGTTTTACCACCTGTGTGGGTGGCATTGTCTCTGCCCTGGAATAACAACTACAGCCGAGTACCATTGGTGAAATTCATATGTCAGCTCATATCCCATTTATACTTCATGTTACTCTTCGTATTTATGCTCGTGATACCATGGGGTAAATCAAGCGATGACCTCATACCTGCATGGTATGAAATATTGTTGTTATTCTGGCTGTGTGGCCTGGTGCTCACACAACTTACTGACCCGAAGAACAGCAGAGGCCTGGGCCGAGTACCACTGTTCGTTATCAGTCTTTCAGCAATTGCGATTCTGATCCATCTCTTTGCGATACCTTTCGAGAGCGTCACGCGCGTCAACCTTCTTTACGCGCGCAACCAACTTTTTGCGATCGCCATGTTTTTGACGTTTGTCCAGTTATTGGATTTCTTAACATTTCATCATTTGTTTGGCCCGTGGGGAGTCATCATCGGAAATTTAATGCAAGACTTAGCTCGCTTTGTTGTGATCCTGCTCATATTCATACTTGGCTTTACTGTACACATCGCTGCCGTCACGAAACCTAACATGGCTAATCTACACCAAGTACAACACAATTTGGTCGAAATATTTCGCTTGTTGTTTTTCTCGCTGTTTGGCTCAGCAGACGGAAACATTTTAGACGAACTCACTCATGATCGTAACCATATCCCAGCATTCTCTAAGGTCTTGGTACAAATTGTTTTGGGGCTATATTCATTAATTACAATCGTGGTCCTAATCAACCTTCTCATTGCTATGATGAGCGATACTTATCAAAGAATTCAAGCACAGTCTGATCTGGAATGGAAATTTGGCCGCGCAAAATTGATAAGGAAACTGGAACGATCAACCCGCACGCCTGCGCCTCTAAACTTGTTGACAACAACAGTGATGTATCTAAAGCTTGCCCGCAAGGTAAAGTGCAGGTGTTGCAGGCCTGATATTATGGAAATTTTACATGAAGAAACAAGCGACCAAGTACCAATGACGAAATTCGTCAGTACAAATAGTGTGGGTCCAGACCTCTCCAGTGGCGTCATCACTTCAGGTAACCAAGGAAACCAGAGAATCGAGAACGTGGTGAACTGGGAACGAATCGTGCGCAAGTTTAAAGCTTTGCGTGGAATGGAGGATAAGGAGGAAATGACGGTACAAGAGATGATCTCTGTGGATAATGAAGCACTCAGTGAGAAAAGTGTGCATGATATCAAGGAGTTAGTTGAGGGATTGTTGAAAAAGATGAACACAACCTCATCAACCTAGACCATAGACAATCGAGAGACCGAGATGGTTTCGCGCATTCCTGTCTTTAATAGGGTCTGTTGCAGCGCGCAGTCCACCGGCTGCTTTGACAAATATATCATCAATGCTCCGTAGTTTCCGCAATTCCGCGATCTGAAGTTGTGCTGATTAGGCAAGGAGAATAAACATAGAATATGAATAGATGCAGTGTTGTATACACTGCGCAAATCATGGTAGATTTGCCAAATATAGAACAACTAGATCCAGGGACGCCGGAACCATCATAAGGCAAAGGGGGGCGGACCCACAGCAAGGGCACTTCTCATTTTTCCGGAAAAATTATTTTTGGCGACCTCCCCCCGTCGCCAAAAAAATTTCGGTCAGTGTACCATTTTAGGGGTCCAAAATTTTTTCCGGACATACCGTTAGTGAAATATAAAATGTTAATGTCTGAATCTCATAATTTTCTGACAAAAACCATCGTTCTAAATGTGATTTATCACGTAATTTTTTAAAACTAAAAGGGCACTTCTGCCCCCCCTGCCCCCCCTGGCAAAAGGCAGGGGGGGCAGCCGCCCCCCCTGCCCCCCCAGTTCCGGCGTCCCTGACTAGATCTTCGGTATAATCCTTTTAAATGTAGCAGATCGTTACATGCAGGGTTATCTGTATTAAGCGACTGTCCTCACTTATACATGTTACGCATTACTAATTACTTCCTGAGTAATTTCTCGGTTTATTGAAATAACGAGCAAGTGAGCAACATTGTGAAAAAAGTATTAAATTTGCGTTTATACTTTTGTATGATTTTTAATTCCAACCTTTATACCATATTTTCCCTTACCTTGCTTCAACTTTAATCATAGAAATATTAATAGTATCTATTATTTCTATGATTTTAATACACAATTTTTCCTAACTCCGGAACCACTAATAGTTGACCTCAAAATAAGTTTGCAGTTAACTTTTCTGTAACATTTTTGACAAGTCCGTTTTTAACACTGATGTCGCTATTTAAAATGGTTAGCACTATTTTCCATCCAGCAAACTGACCTGACGTCATTTTCGCAAGATAGAAGAGATGTTAAATGGCCATGTAACTAACCCTACCCCTACTCTAACCCTAACCTCATCCTAACCCTAACCCTAACCGAATTAATAAAAAAAATCCAAAAAGAAACGACTTTAGAAAATCGATAGGCACGGTTTGCTGGATGTGAACCATTTAAAATTGTGACCAGCTTGGGTGAGCTGTGTGATGAAACAAGATGGCGGCGAAAGCGATCGACATTCAGTCAAAAAAACGCAAATCAAAACGTATCCGAGCTGCAAACAAGTTCTTATCCAATATTTCTCTCGATGGTAAACGTCCTGCAGATAAAAACAAAAAAGAAGTTGAGAAAAATAGGGAGAAACGGCCTCTATCTTTGGACAAAGAAGAAATTCTATTAATTTCAAACCAAAGTTTTGTCCTGGATCCGCAAGCAAGACCTAAACTTTTGACTTCATACTCCACGACAGATGCAATTGAGGAAAACAAGAGTAGTTTAGACATTGCTGGTTCGGTTTCGTCGACGTTCCAGTTCAGCAGCTCGCTAGAACATGCATGTTTATATAACCGGGCAAGTTCACTCAGAGAGTCGAAACATTTGCAAAATAATATCGTGTCAGGTCGCAATTTAGCAAAACATGCGGGACACTTGTGTGGGAAAAGGTGAGTTATGACATCACCAGACTGGAAAGTTCATGCAGTGATTGACTTACCCAAACATACCCTCATCCGAAAAGACCCTGGGTATGAGGATTCACCATCTTCATAATTATAGCGCAGAATACTACACAGTGAAGTCCATCTCCATTGCCTTTTGCATAAGCTCTATTCGTCATGATTCGTCACTCAATAAGTACCGTAAACAGAAGCAGTCACCCCCCTGGAAATACTAAAAATGGTGGACTTCTGTGTAGTATTCTGTGATTATAGTACGTGGACAACCACAGCAAAGCACAGAGTATGTACAATACAGAGATCCGAGTCAGCCATAACCACCGTCACTGAAGTATTTGCAAGACACTCGCCTAGATAGTGTGCTAACAAGAGAGACACTTGGAACTTTAATACATTCAGTGACAGCACTCTCTTCTTGGTGAGAAAAAATGGCTGGTGTTAGATAACCCATTGAGTTGCATTGTGCCCGACTTTATTATTTTACTCTGTCTAATGCCAGATGATTTTACTTGTCAAGGTTAGAGAGCTGATGCTTAATGGGTTAACTGGCCTATCTACCCATGTGTCTCGTTAACCCAATGGGTAGGATATTGCACCCTGTCATATGCCCTACTTTATTATTTTACTCTGTCTAACACCAGACGATTTTATTGGTCAACGGGAGAGAGCTGGCACTTCAATAAATGGGTTAAGACTATAAGTATACCTTGAATTAAAAGCTTGTACCAGTTCAGCTATGCTGTCACTCCCTGGGTTTATACCTTACAATGCTAATTGATATTTGTTTCTTTGATCAACTGAAACCCATACTATATTCTGACATTTTATTTTTTCAGAGTAATTCTGTGTTCAGGGCATCATGTTCCATTTGCTGTTTACTCGACTCTGCAATATACACAACAGGACAAGTTTTCTGACTCACTTGATAAAACAACTTATAAGTAAGTCTAGTATGATTTTACTCTTTACCAATATGTCACTAAATAAATGTTTGAAGCAAAGCATGCATGATATTAAACATCTCACAAGCCAGAGCAAAATGAACAATGTTTTATTTCCTTACAGACTCCAAAGATGGCCTGGTGAGGGTGAAAATTCCTCTTATTGCATTAAAGGGATTGACATTGGATCTGAGGATAGGGTATAGCTATCTCCACATTTGTTGTTCAAATGCCCCAACTATATCTGAACAAAATGTTGCACCTTAATGTTGCCGACTTTGTTATTTTATTCTAATTCCAGATTATTTTAATCTGCTTACTGTCGATGCAATGGAAGTGTTGATAAAATATTGCACCAATTCCTTTCCTCCAGTTGATCAATTCATTTGATAGAAAATTGATCAACTTCCTGTTACTTTTAAATGAGCCAATTAGATTTTGTTTCAGAGCCGATTGACCAATAGGAAATGCACAGGAAGTAAAAAGAAATTTGAATTCGTATGAATTGATCAACTTGAGGAAATGAATTCATGCAATATTTTATCAACACTTCCATTGCATCGACAGTAATACAAAATGAAGATGAGAGCATTGGCACTTGATAGGTTACACCCGTTTTCAAAATTACGCGACCAAAGACGAAAATGGTAGAGTTGACATGTCAGTTTTATGTCATTCGATCACGAAGTTCAAACTTTGAGTTTTGCGGTTCCTTTTCGATGTATATGCTTTGTATGCTTTATATAAACAGACTTACAATGATTTTCAAGATATTTTAGTGAGAGTTATTGTAAAATTTAAGCATGACAAAATCATAACATCACCGTTATAGTCTAGCGCGCGTGTTTTATACTGACAGCTATATTCCAGGATAAATGGTTATTTTTCAAACTTTAAAAGTCATTCACGGCACATATTTATGTTGTGATGGTTTGTATTGTGCTTTAGTTTGTATATCTAAGTTATCTGACTCATTTTTGTTCAGTTTTGGTATTAAATACGGTTTAAAATGTCTTTAGACAGTTTGTTTACGTTTGCTATTTTTTAGCAGTTCTTGTGACATAAAACTGACATTTGAAGTAGGAGTATTTTTCAGGGAGGTTGCGTAATTTTGAAAACGGGTGTAACCCAATGAGTGGCTGCACTGTCACCCTCACTGACAAGTAAAATCTTCTGGTGTTAGACAGAGTAAAATAATAAAGTGGGGTGCATACTGGTTAACAGGGTGCATGGTCAGATAATCTGATTAACCCATTGAGTGGCAGCACTCTCCCCCTGACGAGTAAAATCATCTGGCGTTAGACAGAGTAAAATAATAAAGTGGGGCACATCTGCACGCATTGCCACTTGAAGGGTTAAACATATTGTTTTCCAGAAACCACAAGAATTATATTTTCTTTCAGCCAGTATCATATGGTTATTTACTGGTGCATAATGCTACCCAGTCGTCAAGAAATATTTTATCTCCTCGAAAAACTTCAGCTCAACCATCACCCAGCCCTACGTTGGAAGAAAATAGAGCATTTCCTTCCAGTACACCAAACACACCTGGTTCAAAGATGCTTTCACCCAGAGCTATGGGTAAGACCTAACCTTCTTTATCTGCATTTTCTATGTGGTTGGGCTGTTTCCTTATCTACTGACCATTTTTTTGTCATTGCTCTCGCCCTATGATACATGTGATGCCAAAAATAGACTCTGCTTTCCACAGTTATTGCTTTTTGAAATGTTTATGTGCTAAATGCTAACTGATCACATTTCTGGCCATTGTGTTTTCAGAATATTATAACACATCAAGTAATTTTATTGTGTTTTCAGAATATTACAACACGTCAAGTAATTACAGTGAATATGATCCATTTTTACTCGATGATCCAGAGTTAAGATCAGGAAGACATCGCAAAGTTTTAAAACTTAGTTCATTTATGGTAAGATCAATCATGAAGCAATTAGGTTACCGGTATATATACAAACATTACTTACTTTGTTATTGTAAATCACATCATGGCAAATCCTGTCCACAATGTAAAGGATCACTTATGACACATGTTACATCATAATTTGTGGTGAGATCTCACCTAACCAAACTGGCTCATTTCTCATATGAAAACAAATTGAATTTTATTGCATTAACCCTTAGGGAAGCTCATGAAAACAGCCCCTTAATTTGTTTTTTTCGTGTACAGGTTTCTATCATAGAATATGTAAAACCTTCACAACTGAAAAAGGATTTAAATGAACAGTTTAAAGAAAAGTTTCCAAACCTTGAAATCACGTTATCAAAATTAAGAAGGTAACATTCTTCTTCACTGCATAATTAACCACCTCAAATATACTCAATTGATAAATTGACATTCTTTATTTTCAGTTTAAAACAGGACCTTGCAAGATTATCACAGGAGGTATTTGCATGATTCTTAATACTACTGTAACTTCCTGCATGATGAAGGGCCTTCACAACGCAACTTTCTGTTACTTTATTCATTTTAATTGTATTCTTTTGTCAGTATTGTTTAGATTACTCTACTGTGGCATATTCAACTGTTTACTTTGAAAAGCTCGTGTTATGGGTATGTTCAAACCTATACAGCCAATTCAAAAGAGGTTGTCCTAAACCTAAACTCTGAACCTTAAACTCTAAGCACGCAAAGCTTAATGGAGCACAAGTTTCAAGCTTAATACTTGAATATTGCAGATATTTGTGAACGATCTTACCATGTTTCTAAGAAATGGGCGCCATATATGCTTTCTAAACTGTTTGAATGATGCTCCATTATGCTTTGCACGCTAAATTAAGGTTTAAGGTAAAAACCTATGTGTATGATCCGTTTGTATGTGTATTTGGCTTGCAGCCTGGTAACTAAACAAATATCAAATATATTAATCCAAACATTTGTGAACTAATAGACATTGCCCAAGGAGAAATTGATTAAATTTCGGTTTAATTTGGTTGAAAATTGGATGATGAATTAGCAAACATTTATCTTGCTTTGCGGGCCAGAATAAATATAAGTATAAAACTTTTTTATTTTAACATGACGTATAATGTCTTTATTCTTTAAGGGCAAGATAAGTAAAGCTAATCGCAAATTGGTTGTTGGTAAGTCCTTTAGATTTAATTGAAAGTTGTCAACAAGCCGTTGACGGTTGAGAATTTCTCAACACGCTAACAAGTTGTTGAAACAGCATTGGTTATACAAGTCTGTTGCAAATTTGTTACAAGTTGTGCGTTTTTACGTGACACTGTGTAGGTATCACATTAGAATTACGATGCGGTACAATTTCTTTGTATAGGATCGTGTTTATTGCTGGCGGCGAAATTTAACGGTGATTTGAAAAAGGACGCCATTAAAGAATTAATAGACGTAAGATGAGTGAATTGACTGCTATAGTTAAAACCTGTTAATATAACTACTAACGTATCTTTATTTTGCTGTTGTTTTTTTTAGCATATTTCAGATGGGTTTAAAGTGAGTACAAAAGACCTTCTCTTATTTGAGATTCAAGCACTCATAGCGATGGAGTTTAATTTACATTTACCCATTAATTACGTTCTGCCGCATTTGAAACGACTGGAATTTGAAAACTTGGCGTATTCATAGAAATATTAATTTGAGGACCTATATTTTGTAAGGTATGATATTTTTTATTTTTGGAAACTTGTTGTATGAGAATGCTGTTATGCATATCGGATATTGATTACTTCAAAGGCTATGTTTAAAACGGAGAATACTCGGGGAATATCATATTCTTCCTTTAAAAGGGGATATGACAAAACCCGATTCCCCGACTTCCCCTTTTAAAGATAGCCAAAACGGTTCGTAGACATCGAAAAAATCACATATATGCCGGCTTATTTATAATTGTTATTATTTATTGTACTCTGTTCTGGCGAGGGATAAATTCTAGGTAAATTTATTGAATTTTTTACTTAATCATGTTGCTGGCCAGAAAGACACACATGTCTGGTCAAAACAGAAAGTGGTTGGATACTTGGACATGATATATTTCGGTAGATTACTGACTACAGACTACATTACTGTAAAAACTGATTTAGATTTACAATTTAACAATATCATCAAATGCCACAAGAATTGACTGAAATTGTAAATATTTACATTATACTTTGGTTCCGTACAGAATTGTCAACAAATACTGTTTCTGATGCACTAATAAAATCAGTAAAGACTAAAGGAGTCATTACATCATAATTTTATCAATTGAGATAAAAACGTTGTCTATACGTATTATGTTGAAATCCCATACTGTTCTACGGTATAAAATCTATTGCCGATCTATTACTACAGTGCTAGTGGGTAAAAATCGATAAATCTATGACCTTGGGTACAGTGTACATGATTATAGTATATTAAATTAATGTTTGAAACAGTGACACATCAGTGAAAACATTTCCCAACACATGAAACGTTTGGCGTTTACATCAAGGCACAATTGCCGCTGCGTTTCCTACGACGCGAGGTGAGGGCAGGTCGGGAAACAAGGCTAAGAGCCAACTCTGCCATTGGCTGGTCATAATTATTTCGTCGCCATATCGGTTTGTACAGCATGATTTTTGCCACCTGAACATTCCTGCCAGCCATCATCACACTGGAAGTGGCGACCATTGTTGTCTTGGCTGAAGACAGCTCAACAAACTCGTTCGCAGATCCATCAAGATCGTTCACTTGGAAGATACATTTGCCTTCCAAGAGATCAGGGGACAGCAGCTTGCAGAAATCAAGGAGATGTCTTGCCATCGTGTCGTCCAGGGCGGAGTAGTTTTGGTAATTCGTGAACTCCCGAGGTAACTCATCCAGGTCCAGGACCTTGACAGAGGAAATATAATATACAAAATTTGCTCAATCCACTAGCTGTCCTCTCCCAGTATTATACAGGCTGTCCACAGAAATGCAATACAGTAAAACCTGGACTAGAGAACCACTAATTTTCAATTTTTTCTTGGCCAATGGCCATCAGCCTTACAAATGTTCGTATTATTGTATAAATACATTCAATTTAATAGTACTTTTTTGTTATCGTTCTGGGTTCGGTTGTTCAAAGGTGTGTTAGTGCTAACCTTCGGTTAAAATTTAACCCACTGTTTTGGTATTTGTATTTCTGCACTTCCGTTTATTTCAAAAGTTCAGAGAAGTAAACTCCATCGATCCAGACAAGATCTCTGAAGAAACATTTCCAAATTTATAAACAAGCTGTCAGGAATCGACTTTCGAACAACCTTGACAGCAAACACAGACAGGCCCTTGACAGACAAACACAGACAAGAAACATGGGGATAAGTTAAGAGTTGCTTTTTTTGAACATTTATTGTTGATATTTCATTAGATCGTTCAAGCCACGCGCATGCGCTGTGACACATGATATACGATTGTCTGAATTCCAAAAAATCCAGGAAAAACGAGATTTCGAAACTGAACAAAACGTCCGGCTTTGTAAATGTCCTTGAACAATGAAATGAATAATAACATATCCAACTATCAAATCTCAAAATAGTCCATATTGAATGTGTTGCTTTGTAACAACAAACAGCTCTGACGTGGCATGCTTCGCTGACAAAACAGGATGCGCACGAACACTTCCGTATTTTAAGTTTCAAATTGCTCATGTACTTGAGGTGTTTGTATATCTGCTCGAAAACCATCAAACACACTTTAATTTTCCCGTTAATTCGCCCGTTTTAGGAATACAAATTATAGTCACAGTCGACACAGGCAATTTTTCACAATGTCAACAACAATGGTTCGGAAAGTTAAAAGAGGAACGCAAATCTCATTAACTTCAAATGTGTAAGATATTGAAAGTAATCCTTAAACTGCTAAATGAAACCGACTGCTGCGTGTGAGTTTTTGTTTTCAGCCTACTCAAGCATATAAAACGATATTGTATCTTTTAAACTAGTATTTTATGCTACATAGAAAACATTCATGCACTCATATATAATGTTAACGGCGTAAACACAATCTGAAAATGAAACCTATACTTGTAAGATCTTTAAAAACTTTTAAGAATCAAGTACTATTTTTTTTAAATAGAACATATAGTAGAAAAGTGATGACTGGGGAACGTTTTGTCGGAATAATTAACATATGATATAGGAGAATGTCAATGGTTAGTAACTGTTTATACAGAGCTGCAATTCTATAAAGAACCACTATATATGGTATAATATCCCTACTTGTATGTGTACACCATATTGCATATAGTGGTTTTTTATATATACCTCTGGTATATTGCAGAAAGAATTTGCTTGTTTATATATAGTACCTATATATTCTCTGTCTCTGAATACTAATGAGATGAGATATGGTAAACAAGGATTATTTAGGAAACCAGCAGAATGTATTCAACTAAATACAAAACATATAAAGTATTTATTACTTAATTCCACGAACAGTACTACGGAAATGAGCTATAGCTTGCAAACTATATTTGTGGTTCATAATTTCTAAGTTCTATACATAGTTCATGAAACCGTACTCCCCTTCTGGGAACAGATACGCACATTTCTAATGAACATCAGTATACATACCGTCGCCATGCAGTTGAGATAGTACATCAACTTCGCCTTGGGATTGCTAGGAACTGTGCAATGTGTTCCAGTCACTTTCATACCAACTTGGTTTCTTTGGAAAGCTAGAGCCATGATGAATGTGGAAAGATGGTGTCTCACTGGTAAACAACAACGTTTGAGTTTTCTTTCGATTTGATGTGTAAATATGCATGGATATTATATTTACAGTGGGCGTGGAACTGAAGAGGGACGTTTGACTCGTAGGGAGATTTTTGCGAAAGGATTGTAAATTGAGGCATCTCTACATGATTCATTTGGTGAATAAGGATCAGGCCATGAATATACTGAATGGTACTGTGCGGAAACGTATTCAGTATCATCAGTGAAGTTTTTAAAAATGAGAAATCTTTCCACGGATTATTATTTAAAAGCAATAGAAACGGAGCGAGCCATTTGTTTCCACTGGTGGATGTTTATCAGTGTGCTCAATACAAGACAGGAGTTCTAAGGTCACTGAGTTCCCTTCCTCGCGTGCACGCGACACAATTTATGTGCTGTTATAGCTAAATTAAATGAAGATTTCATGCTGTGGAGTCATGTTTGGGTTCAGATCGACTTTACCAGCTACTGGCCTGTTTTTTTTCATGGATAATCTGGGATTAAATAGAGCCATTCAGTAGAAATAAAATTAGTTTAGTTGGTTCAGGTTTCCTCCTGTAGTAAGAATAGATCAACAATTTCTGACCTTTACTGGACCTATACTTATAGGATTAAGGAGAAATTCGCCATGTAATTTCGATTGATCAACAAGTAATTTCTCATTTGCGAGCCAACAATTGCACGTGTATGTCCATTGTTGTAACTATCCACCAATCACAATACTTCACAGTTTTAACAGCCACAAAATTCGTCCGTGTCTTCTGTTTTTCCAGACTTCTACAGTACACAAGTACATTCTATGCTAGATATTATTCGAGCTTGATGAAAGTTGGTCTACAAATATAGTATTTGCATTCGATTCTTTCATCAATATATTTTTCATGCAAGTGAAAGTTGTTTTATGGTTCCAGGAAGAAACCTCGCGTGGTGCCCAATTCCTAGTAAATGCTTTTCTTTGAACTGGGTTAGAACGAAACGAAAACATATTTGAAATGTTCAAAATTTCTTTGGTCGATAAACCAGAACTAAAATAAAGTAAAATTATTTAGGTATGACTATACTTTCAATGAATAAATGAAGACGGCAAAGGCAAAGGCAAAGCAATAGAGATCTTACCTTCGTTTTTCGCATAAACAACAATATATATGCAAGTGCGAGGTCGCTGAGGTCACAACATGAAATTTGATGCCTGTCTTACGTTGTAAGCAGTACGTCGATCCCAAGAACAATGGATACTCAACAATATATTCACATTTTAAACCTGTAACAGAAATATTTGAAATAGATTCAGCATTTTCGTATTTGCAGCAGAAGGTATTCTTATTGCTATTCAAAAAGTATTTGAAGGTTTCTAATTGAAACTAATTAAATTTATACAGGAAAACTCTACCAGCGAAAATTCTATTAAAGTCAACTATTTCAGTTTGGAAACAATATTATAAAATAACATGTATATAACGCGTATTCTGATTGGTCGAAAGCCGTGTTTGGATCAGGCCATCCGTGTTGTTGTTATTTTATAAAACAATTACTTTATGGTTTCCGTGTTTGGATGGACTGATCCAAACACTTGGGAATGTTGCTCGAGTTAAGAAAAGCGGGCAAAATCACTCGCCTTCGGCTCGTGATTTCGCTCGCTTTTCTTAACTCTCGCAACATTCCCGCGTGTTTGGATCAGGCCATCCAAACACGGAAACCATAAAGTAATTGTATAATAGTACACGTTATTAAACTGCGCGAATAAATTCAGCAAAATGTGTTTTTAATATCACTGACGCCTTTCAGCTGATGTACAACAAGCATGTTTTGGAGGGGATAGTAAGGCAAAATTATACCGCTGTGTCGTTGTCAAGGGTATACCCTTAGTAAAAATGATTTGAAACAACCCACCCCCTGAAATATAATTAAACGTTTTCTAAGTAAAACACTTCTGTGAATTACGAATCGAAAGAGATTAGTCGCACATTTGACATCTGTCACTAGAAACTTGCAAATTTTGCGTTTATTCTTTTGTTAATTAGCCATGTATGTTCAAACCGTCTACATTTATTTGGATAATGTATAGCTAACACGTATATATACAGATTAAATAATGGAAATGAACAACTTTTACTTTTCCGCTATATAACGCATTTCATGTTAACTTCAATTCCGCGAAAACCAACCATTGTTTCATGCACTGTCGTTTCTGAGAAAAAGTTGAATCATCATGCCAATTGTCTTCCTGTCGAGTCCCTGGTTAAGTTTCAGTTTCGTAAATTGTTAATGAATTCTGGGTTGGATTTCAAGTACAACATACAGTCGTAGAAAAGACTGGATGCTTTATGCTCGTTTCGTCCCCAACACGAACGTCACCCGAAAATTGGTAGGAATTTTGGCGGCATTTTGCATCATAGCGCTCATGCAAGGAAACAAAAACTTTAAAAATCTTACGTTTTGTCCCATATAGTTTAAAGATAAAGAGCAGAGCCCAGCAAATAACTTTAAAACCAAACATAATAAAAGTAAAATTTTTAATTAGCTAACGTTTCGTTGTTTACAATACAACATCTTCAGAGCAATCTAAATGAATTTACAAGGTATGGTATATATATTTACAAAATAATGGTTTAATATTACAAAAACCGTCACATAGTTTGAAAGAACAAATGAGTAGAAAGAAAGGAAAATAACTTATCAGTAACTGGTTAATAAGTAAAGATTAATGTTAAGTGCATGGTTAGTATAGTTAAGGTATTTAATATTACATAACTAAAATAACTCAAGAGTGGTAGATCTAATATTAGCATTAAGGACAGGGTTAAGTTGAGAAATTAATAGGCTTTCACGGATAAGAAGATCCCACTCAGAAGTGCCTGATGATAGAATTTTGAAATCAGAAGCGGATACTGGGTGTTTGTGCATGTTGTATTGTAAACAACGAAACGTTAGCTAATTAAAAATTTTACTTTTATTAATGTTTGGTTTTAAAGTTATTTGCTGGGCTCTGTTCTTTATCTTTAAACTAAGATTTCCGCCTGGTGTATCAATTGCCACAGTTTTGTCGTATATGTTGAAGATTACCACAAACTGACAAAAACACAGTTTTTAATGCAGTCCCCCTCGACAAACTGACGTTCGTGTTGACAAAAACACTGCGATCTTAAGCTCACTAATGCCAGTCATTCTGTCATTGGTCTAGTTTTCCTCAGACTCAGTTCCAATTAAAATAAAGTCAAGTGTCACTAGAATAGTCACTGACAACAGCAATATTAATATTGTAAAATAGAAGCCAAATATTTAAGTTACATTTCAAAGTTTCGGAATTTAAATGCAAAAATGTGTATTATCCAGGCATACAATCCACTGAGATACAATCTCAAAAAGTAAGATATATTGTATTAAGGAAGTAGGTTATAGATAAAACAGTATCTAGTCTGGGGACGAAACGTGAAGGGGACGAAACGACCAGTTACCGACTGGATTAAGTCTTTATCCAATTCTAACACTTGATCAAAACTTCATCTAGTTCTAGGATTTGATCAAAACTCATCCAGCTCCAGGATTTAATTAATCAAAACTTCATCCAGTCCTAGGATTTAATCAAAACATTCAATCCTAGGACTTGATCAAAACTTCACCCAGTCCTAGGACTTGATAAAAACTTCATTCAATCCTAGGACTTGATCAATATCTCATCCAGTCCTAGGACTTGATCAAATTTCATCCAGTCCTAGGACTTGATCAAACTTCATCCAGTCCTAGCCCTAGGACTTGATCACAGTATCCAGTCTTAGGACTTGATCAAACTTCATCCACTTAGGGGACTTGATCAAAACATCATCCAGTCCGAGTACTTGCTCAAAACTTCATCCAATCCTAGCCCTAGGACTTGATCAAAACTTTATCCAGTCCTAGGATTTACACGTACGTCCAGTCCTAGGGCTTGATCAAAACTGAGGCAGTCCTAGAACCTCAAAGGTCATTGTCCTACACAACGACCCAGTACTGATTTAATTTTTGATGCTGTTTTACTCATAAATATGTTGAGACATTGATGGTGCTAGGCCGCTAGCTAAATTGAAATACTGAATTGAAATTCGAGACTTACCAGCAGATCTTTAAATATTGCTTAACTCTGCTCCATGTAAGGATTTTTTGCACGTGTCTCCCCCACCTAGAGAGATCATATAAAAACCTCAGCAAACCTTTTGAGTTTCATTTTTCCTTGTTTTCCATCGAGGAAGGGTTACATCAGAATCTCCGCATCTTGTAAAATGGCATTGGCATTTCGAAGCCGCGAAATTGGTGTTAAAGATACAAGTCACGCGGCAAACGTACCTGATAACCCTAAAGCACGTTTGATGTACTACGTTGGCTGTGTTGAAGGTGTAAGTATGCCTTAAAATACGGTCGCATGATGTAGTTTCACTTTGTGTGGCTCTTTTCATTCCTCATCAACGCAACCCATTCCTTTAGCCGCCTTTGCTTTGCATGTTACCCTTCTAGTGTCAGTTCAGTGACGCTCCGAGAGTCCGGCGTCCACGGCGCCTTTCGCTTCTGAGTCTGTCAATGAAAATGTCATGAAAAAAGTCCAGTCAACGTTCTACTGAAGATTGTGGGTTCTCCATGAACAAGCTTTCGTTGGTAGGGATGCAATACCTGAAAATATAAGAAGAATTTCGACGTTTCGAGCGAAGGCCCTTCGTCTGGAGTTACCATAGCTTGGCTTAGTCTAACCCAATCCATCGTAGCTGTGCTATAGCTTTCGACTCCATCATGTTTTCAGATTGTTATACAGTCAGTTCTTAGTCACAAATTATACATGTATAGTGTGTATCAGAGAAAATAGGCATAGCAATTGCATGGCACCACAGACAGTCGAGGAGAATGTATCTCCAATTGCCATTGGCATTGTTTTGCGCGTTACCGCGCGTACCTGTGATACGACCTCTAAAGTTCTGCAGTCACAATCATATATATACTGAATGAATTAATGAATTAATCGTTTCGTAGCTTCCAATGTGTCAATCAGCTTTTTATAATCTTATAACAAACTAAACATTTCAATACAGTGTTCATGTCGCGACGTTTTGCTTCGACAAGTTTTAAGAAAGGCTGAATTGCACGCATCATTATATCATGGCAGTCTCGGCTATTTTTGCTCAGACTCAGTAATATAAAGTGAGACACACACATTTAACGATAGTTTCGTGAATCTGTTCTCGGAGTCCAGAGAATTCACCCAACTACCGAAAAGAATTGAGAATAGTTTAATTAACAAAGCGATCTGATGTTGTACAGAATTAACAAATCGCGAGTTATATTATATGACATATAATTATATAGGGTTAGACTATGGCAATCAATTTTGAATGATTAAAATAGATTGTCTTCTCTTGTTATATATTTAGGTTCTTAAGTCGAGTACAGAACACGTAGGTCCGAAATATATGGACTACAACAATTACTACCTGAGCGACGACGAGACCCGCACATTGATTAGCTTTTGCGAAACATTTTCTCCCTCATTTCTGGAAGACAAGTGTTTCTTTCGCAGTCCTGAGTTGTGTCAAGGTAAACCCAATCGCTTTCTCGAGCTTTCATCAAAAGAATTGACGTTTGCAACCGCCCGAAGTGTTGTGGTGATGGGAAAAGAAGCTTTTGTGGCCAAGATCATGGTTTACAATGATACATGGAGAAGATATTATTATGATGATCCTTTGTATGAAGTGAAGAGAAGTCTCAGACCTCCCTCGCCAACCTACACCACAAGACGCCGAAGTAATAGCTGCATTATTATATAAACTATCATTGCAAAATCGTTACTATATGCATGATAATATAAGTGATTAGAACTATATGCATGATATATAAAGGGATTTAAAAAAGAGATAGAGTGATTTATTATATAAACGATCACTGTAAAGCAAAGTTGAAAAGCATGGATTGACAGTACAGAAAAATCTCGCGTATACTACTTTCTTCCAGGTCAGGGTGAACAGTTTTATTTTCTAGGTCAGGGTGAACTGTCTTGATTTGAACAGAATATTAACTAAGTTGTATTTTATGACTCTAAATCTCTAATGTTAGACTTGGTTCAAGTCCGTCTCAGGAGAAAAGTAGGACGAGACGGACTTGGGACATTCGCAGCATTTCTAATGTTACTTGCAAAAATTGGCGCGAAAATTTGTTGTTGTTCTCACCTCGCAAGCCACGCCTCCGTAGGAAAATTCCGACGGTAAAATTTGGCGCGCTTGCAAGGTATCCAAGTCCGTCTCTCCCTACTTTTCTCTCATATTTTCGCGCCTTCTTTGACCGCTCGTGTGCATCGCTATTTTCAACCCCTTGAGAGACGGACTTGAACCTAGTCTAGCTCTAATGTTTGCACTTCATAAAAATCAGGCACACCTCATTAGTGAGGCCCACGAAGGGTGCCAGGTCGCTTGTCACTCATTTTGTAGCTGCTTTGTCGCTTGTTTTATTGTAATAAATGTCGCTGTCACTTTTGACCCATAACACAAATCGCAATTTGTCGCTTTTTTCTAGTCAGAAGCTGTCGTTTGTCGCCCCTCTTTAGATAGTCTGTCTCCTCTTTTTAAGGAATGTCGCGTGTCGGTCATAACCCCTTGGTGGGCCTCATTAGTAGCAGGGAAATTTTGATCATATATAGCCCATATTTTACCCTGCCAACATTTGTCATCCAATTTCTTTCACTTTTCATCCCCAAGGGGTTACTGGCCTTTACTTTTTGGCCATTTTTGACCGCTTTTTCACTTCTTGAGAAAGTGACTAGAATACCATCCGTAACCTTACCTATCCATAGGTATTGTAGCCCTACATATCCACAATTACCACACGGTTTTTTAATACCGTCTTTCATTAATTTCGATCTGGTCAACGTGCAAGTTCTGAAGTTTAACATTGATTATTTGAAAATTTTGTGTTGAAAGCCTGATCTGTACTAACAATGGTTGAAAGTGAAAATGTTTGCGAAGGTATTGATGTGACAGAGAGTCAAGATGGCGGGATTATTAAATTGATAAAACGAGAAGGTAGTGGAGATGAGACTCCGAATGAAGGGGCCAACGTGTTTGTACATTATGTCGGAACTCTTGAAGATGGAACTCAGTTTGATTCAAGTCGTGATCGAGGAAAACCTTTTGACTTTCCCTTGGGCAGGGGTAAGAACTTTTAGAATTGTCAGACGTCATGCAAATCTGAAATCTCGTGAACGGGTAGTCAATGGAATGCCCCCTATTTTATTGCTAATTAACCCACTGAATTAGCTGCAAAGTGCCTGAATACACTCAGTGTTATTGTTTTACTTTGTCTGTGCCAGACGATTGTACTTGTCAAGGGAGTGAGGTCAGTGTAAACAGCACTAACCTGCGATCACGCCTGACTGGAAAACTTGGAAATTACGCTGTCGAGATTTCTAAAATTTAATAGTAAATACAGTATATAAAAGCATCATCAGCATATATCGCCAGTGTGGACTGACGATCAGGCCTATAAATAAATAGATAGGCCTGATACAAATCTTAACAAAAGTCCATGCCGTACAACCATATTTCGGTTGTAAATTTGATTGGTCTATGAGACAAAAGATTTTTTAATCTGTCATTTGATTGGTTGGTGCTAATTAGATAATACTATTGTATATTTTATATTGATCGCAACTATAATTAGATTGTTATTGTCGTTGCATGAAATTTAAATTTCTTCTGTGACATTTTGATTGGATAGTAAGTATATAAACTTTGCTATGGGTGGAAAGCGATCGGATTAAGGTTTGTGTCAGGCTATTATTTTTAAAATAGAGCCTGCTCTGCGGTTGACACAGCACATGATCATCATGCAATAACAGATTAACCACTGAACACTTGATCTCCCTGATCTCCCTGTTGAATAAAGATTACTTGAAGCAACAACTGCATAACTAATGACTGAATAGACCTTTCCCCTTTTGAGTGAAATTTTGATCTAGACAAGTCTGGACAAAAATTTCATCACAGCTTCAAAGAGCATCACAAAATTATTAATATTCCGAAGTTTCATTGCGGAATGTTGTAAAATGCGGATAATATAGCCTTGCGAAGTTTGCCGTTTTTCAGTCATTTTGTATTACAAACAGGAAATTGGTAATCATATGATCAAACTGATTACCAATTTCCCGTTTGTAATACAAAATGACTGAAAAACGGCAAACTTCGCAAGGCTATATTATCCGCATTTTACAACATTTCGCAATGAAACTTCGGAATATTACTAATTTTGTGATGCTCTTTCAAGCTGTGATGAAATTTATGTCAAGGCATATCTAGATCAAAATTTCACTCACAAGGGGAAAGGTCTATTGTGGCCACTTGTGACGTTTGTGCTGTCACTGTGTGCATGCATAACACAAATTGCAGATAACCATTATTTCACCTGATTTTAGGGCATGTTATTCCTGGATGGGAAGTAGGTGTAGAAACAATGAAAAAAGGCGAGATATGTACATTAACCTGCAAGCCTGAATATGCATATGGTAAACCAGGCAAGCCTCCGACCATCCCACAAAACTCAACACTTGTGTTTGAAATTGAACTGTTGTATTGGGAAGATGAAAAGGTCACAGATGATTTGTTGGTTTCCAAAAAGATCTTGAAGAAAGGCAAAGGAAACGATTGCGTCAGCGATGGAGGCACCGTCGAAGGTTTGCAATATGTTGCTCTTTCATCTCTCATAATTTAATTCACAAGGAAAATATTTATTGTTTTATTTCTAGTTCATTTGAAAGGCAAAGTTGGTGAGCGAATATTTGATGAACGTGATGTACAGTTCACTGTTGGAGAAGGTGAGAGTTTTTTTGCAGGCCTGCATGGGAGTATGCTTCTTTTGGTTTATGGATGATAATATATTTTTTCATTTATGGAAAACACAACATATATTGAAGTATTTACTAAAACTGTCTGTACCAGTGTAGGTAGTACCAAAGTGAAAATGCTGTGCTGAGTGGTTATATTACTACTCGCAGAAAGAAACTCGACGTTTCGAGTGAAGGCCCTTCATCAAGAGTTGTCTACTAACTCTTGATGAAGGGCCTTTGCTCGAAACGTTGAGTTTCTGCTTATTTTTTAAGGTAGTAATATAACCACTCAGCACAGCATATTGAAGTATTGCATGCTAAACTTTCAATTATCCATTAGGCTGGATCAGGAGACAGCTTATTTTGCAATTACACAAAATATATGTGGTACACAAACCACAACTTTGCGAATAGGATATTTTTCACAAACAATGAAATTATATTAAGGTGGCGAGTCCGATGTTATTCCTGGTGTGGATGCAGCTGTGAAAACCATGAAGAAAGATGAAGTCTCACTCATTAACTGCGATAGTTCTTACGCTTTTGGAGAGAGGGGAAGAGAGGACTGGGAAATCAAACCTAGTATGTCTGTTGAATATGAAATACATCTCAAGTCCTTTGAACAGGTGCACAATTCATAATTGTATTAAATGTTCCCATGTTTTGCAAAATAGGTTCAAGAAAGGAATTGACCTGAACTGGCCTCAGTTTTAGATTTGATAGAGCAATCCAGGCTAAGTTGTTAATTAATTAGAATTAGTTCCCCCTCTTGCTAACATTCTTGTTGTTTGTAATGTAGCTGAAACAGCCTTGGGAATTAAGTTCAGCAGAGAGAATTGATGATGCGAAGTTGGTGAAAGAGAAAGGAACAGAATATTTCAAGGTATTTAGAAATATTTTTTAGAATAGTGAACAATGTATTTTTAAATTGAATGAAGAACAACCTTGCATTTTCTTTATATTTTCCAGGAAGAAAAATTCTCTTTAGCATTGGGAAAGTTCACACGAATGGTTGCATTGGTTGAAAGTTTGGTTGAAGAGCGAGACCTGAAGCAAGCTTCACCCTTAATCTTAGCTGGACACCTTAACGTTGCTTTGTGTTATCTCAAGTTAGGAAAATACCCAGAGTGTATAGAGTCTTGTGATAAGGTGAGTTTCCTCTTCATTATATACTGCATGTAAGCACCCAAAGTATATTTAAAAACTTGGTTATAAATTAAGCCACGTTTCTCAATAATAAATATGTTTTATTGATATGTTTTCCAGGCGTTATTTCGAGACAAGAATAATGTGAAAGCACTGTATAGGAAAGGAAGGGTAAGTGTTAAATGTCAACTACTTTATAAAATGGTGACAGAAATTTGACTCTAGTATTTTTACATATTTCTCAAGGCAAATCTGGCGATGCATTATCCAGACGAAGCTAGTGAAATGTTCCAGAAGGTCATCAAACTTGACCCAAAGAACAAGGATGCCCGAACATACTACAATATCACAAAGAAAAAAATTGCAGAATATAGGGTTAAAGAAAAGAAAATTTATGGTAATAAATATTTTGTATTGTCTTTTAATAGTCATAATTAAACCTGGGTCTTCAACCATTCAGAATTACACTCATGAACATCTCTATGGATCTGCTTATTCGCCAATAAGTATACTATATTTTTAATTTGCTTGTTCCATTTTGTAGCAAACATGTTTGATAAATTTGCTGCAAGGGATGCTAAGAATGCAGCTCAGGCTGAAAGTTCGCTCAATCCAGATGGCAAGGATGTTTTTACGAAAGCTGAAGAGGAAGCCAGGGCAATATTTGGAGACGAAGTTGCCACGGCAGATGGAGGACAAAAACTTGAGAAAGAGAAGACAGCTGCGACAACGAACAATGATAAAGGTATAACACATAAAAATACACAAGTTTTTAGAGGTATGCAAACAAGTTGTTACCAATATGTTGACAATTTGTGTTCGCCCTGATGATCTTTTTCAATTTTAGATGGTGATAAAGCGTCAGAGGAACTTGCAAATAGAATAAAAGACACTAGCGAAGAAACTGCTGAAACGCCTAGTAGTTCGGAAACCATTAGTAGTTAAACACGAGATTGTAGCACATTGCATGTAATGAACCTTAGTTTAATTAGCACTATATTTTATATTTTAATTAGCAATTATTCACTAATTTATTATATTCGCTGATAATGAATTATAGAATGGATCTAATCCTTTCTTTCCAAGTAAATAGTTTATAATATTCCTTCAAAATGTTCCATTGTATTTTCATTTTTTTTTTAAATTCCCGTAAAACAAACTAAGAAATTTGCACACGCAAGGTGTGTCCATCAGCACGTTCATGAGACAACAGGGAACGGAAATATTTCAAATGAGCACGCCAAGGTGTAACTGCAACACGATGCGTTTTCCAATATGGCGGTTTGACCAGAATTTTTTACGACATTCTGTAAACGTTTCAAATCAAATTTTTATTCGTTTGTTGAGCATCTCAGCACGTGTGACGAGAATGGATTATAATGTCATTCACGATGAAAGAAACAAGCAGTTTTACATCGACCTAGGCCAGGGTAAATATTTAATTGTAAGATATTGTTTGATATTTGTGTGTTGCCCAGTAACCGGGCATATTTGCAAGCATAGGATAGCGTCCATTGTGAACTCAGAAATGTCGGCAAATTAAGCTACAGCTCTTAATGTATGTGTCTTTCAGGGGTATGCTACTGGGTATAATGAAAATAATTTTGCCGACATGGTAACCAGTGTTGATTGTTCATGTAATTTCTGAATACTATATCACAGAATATGAACCTTACAGAAGGTTGATTTCTTGGTTTTGCCCATGATTTTAGAATAAACATTGAAATGCTGTCACCATGCTCGTAGCCAGTGCTCTTATGAGAGGCATTCACCCCCCTGAGAATATTGAAAATGGCAAACGTTCAGGGGGGTGAATGCCTCTCATAACCACATTGACTAGGAACACTGCAACAGCATTTTGATGACGAATCATGGCATGACAGCAGTTCTGCTTTTTCTGAGTCGACCAGTAGGGGTGCACTGGAACCAATTTTTTAAAGTTCTGGCCGGAACTGATTTATTCATCAAGGCGAGAGCTTACAAATGTTAGAATAAAAAGATTGACAAACATTAAACATCATAATGAAGTGTTTAATAGTGTACATTTTCCTTGTGTAGTCCAAATTTCTTCCTATTGTGAACTTTTGTTAGACAAAAGAAGTTTGATATTCTATCTCTCTGAAAACAACAGAGTTCCAATTCCGGCCATGCTTTTTTTATTAGTTCCGGCCGGAACTCTGAAAAATCAAGGTTTCAGGTGAAACTAACCAGCCGAAACAGAGTTCCGGTGCACCCTAGGTACCAGGCCACCGAATTGAGACATACAGAAGCTATCAGTGCTGAATGTATCTGTGAATACTGTAGTTTGAAAATATAAACTATTAAGTAGTGTACATGTATTTTTAGAAAAGGCAGTACTTGAATATCAGTTTCTTGATGGAGAAGAGAACATTATGGATTTTTATCACACTGGCGTGCCTGAAAGTCAAAGAGGAAAAGGAGTAGCAGCCCACTTAGTCAAGGTATCATTGTCAACCACACAAATTATCTGACAAATTATTAAGAACAAAAACATGCATTGAGGCTTAATTGGTTGGATTAAATTACAATTTTTCCACAATGACAGAGTTAGGACTGCGTTGTAAAGTTAATGTTCTGGTCAGGCACAGATTTTCTGGGGGTTGTGCACCCCCCAGAAATTATTTGCACACCCCCAGAGGCATTTGGCACCGCCCCCAAAATTTTTTGCACCCCCACAAATTATATATAATTTGGTTTGATAGTTTCATATTTGATTATTCTTACTACTAAATTTGTAAAATTACCAATATTATGGTCTCAGATCTTGCCATGTAGGCCTAGAAAACAAATTTTGTTAAACTTTTTCCTTGGCCTTAACGGGTGTTGCCACCAGGCCCCGGCCAAAGCAAGCAGCGGCACCCCCCAGTTATTTATCCACCCACCCCACCCCTGAATGAAAATATGAAAGTCTGGTTATGTTAGGTTAGGTTAGCTTCTCTGTAATTTGGTGAACTCTCTTTTATCATTTTAGGCTGCGTTTTCATTTGTGGTCGCCCAGAATTTTAAAGTTCGTCCAACGTGTTCTTATGTTGAATATTACATCAATAAAAATAAACCTTCGGAAATTATTGAAAGACTAGAAAAATAATATATACATATATTTACTGTTTCAAAGGATAAACTGGGGCTTTTATGGAATGTATAATTTAGTGACTTGAAGTACATAAACTGTGTTAAAAAATAGATAACTGTCACTGACTCACTATAGCCGAGTTTTGAACATAATTTGAGTGTTTCAAAATCACTGTAATGTGCATTCCCAATGGCCAGTGGTGGGGGGGGGGCATATTCAAATATTCATATTCACACACCGTAAAAACAATCAATTTCAAAAGAAATTAATAAATGCAGAACACGAATATATGAATATGCCCCCCCCCCCCCACTTATCGAGCTGGCTAGTCCACTGGCAATGGCCAATGACGACGAGGTTGTTGTTTTACAAAACTACATATTTTTCAAATTCAAAACTACATATAACATATTTTAATGAGAATGAAAAACTTACAAATGTACAAAGGCAACTACTAACTAGTTATTGAGCATATATCTTTCCCTTACAATCATGCACGCAAAGTTTGTATTTAATAATACATATATAATATAGTAAGTCATTACTGTTTCTATCTTATGCCGTGAGTACTTGATGGTGAATGTTTATTTGCGGTAACGTTGAGCGTAACCATACTGCATGAGGAGGTCATTAAAAGAATCTTCATCCCCACCAGTCTTTTTCAAGATAACTAACGGTCTTCCGTAGTAACCAACTTCTTCAAATTCTGCATGAACCAACATTTTGTTCGCATCTAACCGCTCCTGAAGCTGAACTTCGGACCATGGTTGGCTGCTGCCAGGAAAGTCAGCTGGATCTTTACCAATGCTTAACCACGCTAAAAAATCGCGAGCTTTCTTTGCTTTTCGACCTGTGTCCATCTCTGGAGCGTTTATGTCAGCCAAGCGACATTTGAATCGTTGCAAACCCCCGTTTCTGCTGATAACCAAATCACAAGTATCGCCGTCATAGACGCTAACAACCTTCGCAGATGTGCTGATATTTGTAGGAGGAGAATTCTCTGACCGTTCGATTTTTTCGTTGGTAATGTTTTGTAACTGTTGACGACTCATTGTAATAGCTCAACGTATGCGCTACGGTAATCAGGACAATTGTTTTGTTGAAGGATGCTTAGCTCAACTATGTACCCAAAAAGACACGTTGCTTCTTCGAACATGTATTGTTGTAGCAGATCATGTGTGTGGCAGGTATTAATGGGTATAGTACAAAACATGGACTGGACAGTTGGACTGGACCTTTGGAGTTTGGACTGGACTGGACTGGACAGTGGGCTGGACTGGACAGTAGGACTGGACTGGACCATG